TATTTTGTCCCAGTTTCACTGTATTTTAGGTTGGACTTGTAATTGGTACACCGGATGCGATATTTCTGTCGGTACAAATCAGGCGCTTGGGTTGTGGTTTGCAAATGCGTACTTTTGATATGGTTGCAACAGCATATTTGGGTGACCTGACCGTTGAACAACCACAGTACAAAAGTTTGGTACCTGGCCGGGAAACACTGTTTGTTATTGATAATACTCATAAAAGTGATCAGAATTTGCTGCAACTGAAATACGTACAGGTTAGTTTTTCCTTTTTTTTTTTTGAAAAGATGATAAGTTATCTTCGTTCGGGTTGTGTCTTGCAAATGCTGCCTTCTGTGTGTATTTAAAAATTACAAACCGCCATAAGACCATTTCGTTATGTACGGATGTGAAGCGTGGTCACTGACGGAAGTAAAAGAGCGAGCGATGACTGTAACGGAGGGAGCGGTTGAGCGAAGGATAACTTGAAATGTCTTTGCTAATCGTGTGAGCAGTGAGACCCATTGTGATCACCAGCATGTAATAAATCATTGTAACTATGCGAGGATGACTGACAACAGATGGAGGAAACGCGTTATCGACTGATACCCACGAAATGTAAAAAAAGCCAGTAGATGCGCTGACCCGACCCACTAACTCGATTATATGGAGTAGTGTGGATGAGACGAGCTCAGGATAGAACTCGGTGACGCGCTTGTTGGCTCAATCACTGGAGAAGATCAATAGCGCGTCGGTGGCGGAAACGCCGCATCAAGATATCAAGGTGACTGCACGAGAAAGCAAAGTCCTATGAGCAGGATATGATTTTCGCCTTGCTAAGAAACGGTATGCGTTGCGTATTTGCGAATGGTACTAAGGTAGCCTCCGAAAAGTTAATGCATGTACTTTGGAGAGGAGATAGGTATTGTCTGGAAGCAGCCGGACGTGTGAAAACACCTTAGTACCATCAGTTACACGGGCTGCCCACATCGTTGTTCGGGCGATCTTGGTGTAATGACTGATCGTATTTGTTAGCAAGATTTAACGCCAGACAAACTGCATTTGTTGACACGTAGAAGATTTCAGGCCCCATTCTCTTCCAGTCTCCTTGTCAGGATTATTTACTGTTTGTGTCTTTGAAATTTCTATAGCACTTAGCTATAATTATCGCCATACATTATTATTCTGGCGATTTTTGACGTAAAACTCTCAATGTTGTTGAGACACTGCTTACACAAAAAAGTGCCAAGTCCTCTTCTTTGTTGACTTAATTTGAGCCGATGTTTTTTTTTTATTTTTACCATATTTTAGGCAAACAAAGAAAGTCCATTCTTTGCGACCGATTACAAATCCACCGAGCAGGCAATTGATTTTTCGTTCAGAACGCTTACGGTTACACTTCATCAGGTATGCACTGATTATGCTGTCGCCGGATATTAATAATAGTTCACGGAGTTCAGTGGTGCATTTACGCGGGAATGGTGCAGTTACGTGACTTGGTAAAAAAACGAGTTAATTTGAAAGGAGTTTGTTTTTTGTCTGTTATAAGCAACGCCTCGGTTACAGAGAAATGCAATTTTTATGCTCGGCCTCCGATTGTCAAACAATCCCAGAGGATTTTTTAAGGATGCCAAGAAATGCTTGGATCTGCGAAACTTCATGATTCTCTCAATCTCTTTTCAAACGGCAACTTTTCCAGTTGTTTTGACCAGTTTTGGTGATTGAAGTAACCAGACTGACCCTGGAAATCCAGACGGCGAAAGCGCGATAGATTACAACAGGAATAAACAGTATGAGAAGATAAGAGTGGGATAAGACGAAGGTTCATTAGATCCTTTACGTCTTAATTCAACACTGCAACAGGACCTCATCACTATGACGGTGGCAATGTATGTGATAAGCTACTGCCCGATTTTAACGTTCATTTCGTTTCCTGAGGGGATTACTGATTCAATATTTCTCGTGACTGAAGCGGTTGGCAAAGATTTTTTATTCAATCCCGAGATGTTTGTTTGTGTTGCTCGTCTGATCCCATCTCATTTAATTCATTCATATGCGATAATGAGGTACCTTATCGAGTAAAATTTTCAGGAAGCTTTGGTGAGCTTGAAAAAATACGCTGAAACATTGCAAGCAAAAATCGCTGAGTTACAAGAGCAACAAGGAGTAAAACCAAAAGAAACAGCTGTTGCAGCTAATGCGGTAGATGCTGCACCAGAACAAGTCGAGAAAAGAGCACTTTCGCGAACCCCAAGTCAACAAAGGTACGTTTTATGGCAGATTGTCTGTTAGTTGTCCCCTTCAACTCCCACTGCATTATTTCATTCTGTGTCAGGGACGATTCAGTTCCATTCTATGTTTACTAATTGTGTTGTATGGCAGTGAAGCAAAAGATACTACATTTGTTGATGAGCAGATTGTAGTAACTAGGTTGACCCTGGAAGTCTGAATGGCGAAGGGACGATAAATTACAATATGAGAGAAGGAGACAAGAGCGAGATGAGACGTTCCGGTCCATTAAATCATATACACCTTAACTCAGCGCCACGACAGCACTTAGTTATTACGACGATCGCAGTTCTTAATGTGAAAGAAAAAGAAAAAAAGAAGACGACAGGAAGCAGAAGGAATGACGATCTGGTAATGGGGTTGGATGGAATAAGAGTGAGATGAAGAAGAAACGGAGGAAAAAGGAAGAAAAAGATTTCAAAAAAAAGAGGAAGAAAAGATTTCAAGAAAAAACATTTTAAAAAAGCATGGACTTAACGGGCTTTGGATAAGGCAGATTTCAGCAATTGCATTGTTTTTTCAACAAAGTACTACGATTCTTGAGCGGCATGGACGATATTATTAAGCCATTGCCGGGATGAAGAGCACGGTAGGTCATGTGGCGAAAACTGAA